CCAACCCCCCTGCCAGCAGCAGGGACACCTTCCACTAGACCAGGTGGCCCAAAGCCTCATCCAACCTGGCCACAAACACTTCCAGGGAGGAGCAGTCACAACTTCTCTGGCCAACCTGGGACACTGGCTCACCACCCTCACACCAAACAATTTCTTCCTCACATCTCAGCTCCATCTCCCCTCTGCCACTTTCAAGCCATCACCCCTTGTTCTCTCACTCCCTGCCCTTGGCCAAAGTCCCTCCCCACCCTTCCTGGAGCCCCTTCAGGTACTGGGAGGCCACTAGAAGGTCTCCCCAGAGCCTTCTCTTCTCCAGGCTGAACAGCCCCAACTCTCTCAGCCTGTCCTCACAGCAGAGCTGCTTCAGCCCGGTGGCCTCCTCTGGACTGACTCCAGTAGCTCCATGTCCTTGTGCTGTTGGTGGCCCCAGCACTGGAGGCAGCACTGCAGGTGGGGTCTCACCAGAGTGGAGTAGAGAACAGACTAGACTAGGTTTATGGTTGGACTCAATGATCTTAAAGGTCTTTTCCAATCTAAATGATTCTATGATTCAGTTGGAAGGGACCTTCAACAACCATCTAAAACCATCTGCCTGACCTCTTCAGGACTGACCAAAAGTCAAGGTATGTTATGAAGAGATTTGCCTTGTAGGTCTTAACTCTTGACAGCTCTGATATCATTGACCAACTTTTCTCGGCAGTGATTAGGGCAGAAAACTCATCTTTGAGGTAAAACCAGAGAGAAAAGATAAAACAATGAGCTCAAAACGTTGAGCTGGTGGGACTTCCTGCCAGCGAGCTAGTGGCACAATGATCTGAAAGCCTTTGAGGACGTACATCTTGGGAATGGGAAGAGAAATGGGTGGTGATGGTGGAGAGAGGGACACATCTGGGTTCACACAGGGGAAAGTTGTGGGGTGTGTGTGTGTATCCCCTACGTTTGACCCAAAAAATGGGGTTTCCCAAGGTGACCTCTCCTCTGTCACAGGAGGTGACCCTGGGCCAGACCCCAACCACCTGTGGGGCTCACTTGGCTCGGAGTAAACGGTCTCGATGTCCATCTGTGTAAGAAAACAAAAAAGAAATGTTGATGTTCACCTCATGGTGGAAAAGAGCCAAGGAGAGGAGAGGAGGAGAG